ACAGTTACATAGATAGATAGTATACATGAGGCTGGGTGTGGTATCTCATGCTTGTAATCCCATCACTTGGGGCCAGGAGTTCGAGACCAGTCTGGGTAACACAATAAGACCCTGTCTCTACCAAAAAATTAAAAAAATTTGCTGGACATGATGGCACACCTGTGATCCCAGCTACTTGGGAGGCCGAGGTTGGAAGATTGCTTGAGCCCAGGAGGTCAAGGCTATAGTGAGCTGTGGCCATGCTACTGCACACCAGTCTGGGCAAAAAAGTGAGACCATTGTCTCAAAAAACAAGTAAACATGTAAGAAAAGGTACTAGAAGGGAAGGTCTCCCGAAAATATTGATGGTAGTTGGTTTTGATTGGTGGCTTTATGGTGACTTACATTTTTTCTCGTATTTCTAAATTTTCTATGAACAATTCAGTACTGCTAGTAAAAATAATCCCCATCTCACTGTATGAATGGTAATTCCCATCCCATTATAGCCTGTTTGATTTATCATTTGTGTTTACAAGTCTAAAATGACTGTGACTTTTATGGCCATGCGCAGGGTGGCAAGCACTACTCTTCATGTACTTTTGGTACCAGCATCAGTTTTCACTCAATAGTACTGTTCAGAACACTTTGCTGGTGGGCCCAGCTTTTCAAAGCGTTCTTCAGTCTCTTGCCACCCTCCACAACAGACAAACATTTTCCCCGTGCCCTATCACTGGGCTTCAGGCCGGCTGTGTCCCTAATCCGCCCACGTCCCAGATTTGGGTATGGTTCCCCCACCCTCCCCCTTTTCTTCCAATCTCATCTCTGCTAGGTCATCTGAGGCCTCATCTGTGCTCCCTGGCCTTCCCCACTGGTCACCACCTAATTTCACCATCTAATTTTACCCTCTTATGTGCAGCTGATGTTTGCTTTTGCTTGGGTTCAGTTTGCAGTGGGGAAGGATTAAGACCCTTTCACGCTGTCTTTTTTTTTTCCTTTTTTTTTTTTTGCTTAGTGCCCTTGACTGCTCCAGGGGCTAACAGGCAGCTAGCGAGGCCTGTATTCCCTAGGAAGGAACACAAGGGGTAGGGGGTGGGGAAGTAATGGTGGGATCAGCTGGCAGGCGAGATAGAGATGGCCCTTAGGGACCCCATCCTGGGGCTTGGAGCATGGCACAGCCGCCACCCAGATGTGAGCATGAAGCAGAGCTGTTTCTGCCTAGGAAATTAGCCTCAGAGATGGTGCTTGGGAACTTTTTACCCTTAGTACCTGATGATAGTCTCTGCAGGGTGAGCTGGGACTGGATGTCTGGTTTGCGGAAGTCTCAGAGGGCAGATGGGCCAAGGAGTAAAGGTAGTTTTTCTGCCTTCATATTAGGTCTTATTTATACCCCCACATCCTACTATGTGATAGGCCTGGCAACAATCAGAGATTGGGCACTTAGCCTAACAAGTGAAGATATTTGTCTAACATAAAAATTCCTCATGTGTGGATAGTACTTTACAGTTTACAAAGCCCTTTAATCTCCAGGCCAATAATTAAAAGCCAGCACTGGAATTCACGTCTTTCAGATTCTAAAGCCTGGGCCAGTGGATTTTGAATTGCTACTGCATGGCACTCTGAATTTCAGAGTGGTTCATACCTGCCTTGTGTCCAGCCCTTTTCTGTTAGCCTGAGACCACTACTTATTTTCAGTGTAATGATTATTAAATACTATACATTCTGTGCATCCAGCCAGCATCTTTAAATATCATGTGCCAATGGCTAGCACTTCATGGCATAGAGATTATTGGTTTTCATGAATCTGAATTTGCTGGATAACTTGGTGGTCGTAGGGGTGGTAAGCCACTGGTGATTGATCTTCTATCGCCATCCTTCATGGTACCAGATTTTCCTGTCTGATTGGCAAAGGAAGCCTGAGGCACAGAGGTAGTAGGTCTAGAACCCTGAATAAAAAGCATGGCTGAACCTGAGGACTTGAGGCAGGAGACCAGAGTATTTAAGAACAGGTGCAGCCAGGCACAGTAGCTCATGCCTGTAATCCCAGCACTTTGGGAGGCCAAGGCAGGTGGATCACCTGAGGTAGAGAGTTCGAGACTAGCCTGACCAACACAGAGAAACCCTGTCTCTACTAAAAATACAAAATTAGCCAGGCGTGGTGGTACATGCCCAGATACTCGGGAGGCTGAGGCAGGAGAATTGCCTGAACCTGGGAGGCAGAGGTTGCAGTGAGCTGAGATCACACCACTGCACTCCAGCCTGGGCAACAAGGGCAAACTCTGTCTCAAAACAAAACAAAAAGACCCAAACAAACAGGTGCTTCACCCTTAGTACACAGAATGACCCTGGCCAAGTCACCTGACCTTACCTCAGCTTCCTTATATATAAAATGAGGACATTCATTAACTGGTTCAACAAATATTTATTGAGTGTATACTGTTCTGGGAGATGAATACAGATACAGTTCCTATCTTCCTGAGCTTGCAGTCTAGTGGGTCTAGATTATAGCAACTTATTTGAGAGGCACAGTAAATAATAAATATATAGTCAAATGTCAAGTAGGGTAAGTGCTATGAAGCAAGTTAAAGCACAAGGACAAGGACAAGGGTGCTTTTAGATGGTGTAGTCAGGTGGTTTTCAAGGGATTTTTATGACGTTTCAAACAGACAATTTACATAACATGCTCAGCTCAGTGCTGACAATTGCATGCTTAACAAATATATGACTACACTTGCCAGTTCTACACCTCTCAGTCCATATTTTAGTCTCCAAATAGTAGTAATAATTAACACACATAGATCTTACTCTGAGCTAGGCACTGCTCTAAACCCTTTACATATTTTCACTCATTTAGTTCTTTTTTTTGAAATAGAATCTCGCTCTTGTTGCCCAGCCTGGAGTGCAATGGTGTGATCTTGGCTCTCTGCAGCTTCTGCCTCCTGGGTTCAAGTGATTCTCCTGCCTCAGCTTCCTGAATAGCTGGGATTAAAGGTGACTGCCACCACGCCCGGCTAATTTTTGTATTTTTAGTAGAGATGGGGTTTCACCATGTTTGCCAGGCTGGTCTTGAACTCCTGACCTCAGGTGATCTTCCCACTTCGGCCTCCCAAAGTGCTGGGATTACAGGTGTGAGCCATCACACTTAGCCTAATTCTTAAATAAACTCTATCAGGTAGGAATTACTATTATCTTTCTCCCTCCCCAACCCCCATTTTTGTTTTTAGAGATGGAGTCCTGCTTTGTTGCCCAAGCTGGAGTGGAATGGTATGATCCCAGCTCACTGTGGCCTTGAACTCCTGGACTTGAGCAATCCTCCTGTCTCAGCCTCCCACTATAGGTGGGAGTCCCAGCTACTTGGACATATTATCTATCTCGTTTTATGGTGTTGAAAAATGAAGCACGGGGAAAATCAAACAATTAGGAAGGTCTGGAGACTAAGAATGTAACCCAGGCCATCTGTTTCTAGAGGCTGTGCTGGGAGTGTGAAGGGGCTGTGATGAGATATCAGGAATGTCTAGTTGGTGTCTACAGGCTCTGCTGTCAGATTGCCTGCCTTTTTATCCTGTCAGGTCTAAGTCTCTCTGCTTCAGTTTCCTCATCTCTAAAATGGAACACCAGATCCCATCTTACTTTCTAGGCATCAGGCTTAAAACAAGCTTTCTTTCTGCACGGTGGGTCTGAAGCCTGTTCAGAGACCAGCCTAGCAGGGAGTTACGGAGTCTCTGACACTTCTGGAAAGAAATAAAGACACACCAAGCAATTGTCAGAGCAACCCTAAGTTCATCTGGAGACCAGACCTCGGAAGCTGAGTCTTTATAATTTTGATATTGCCAGGGGGGAATTAGAAGATCCTTAAATGCAGAAGACAGGTTCAGTCTTGGCGTGGCCTCAAGACTTAGCTTCCATTTCAGCCCTTACACAGCTAGTAGGAGAGGTAAAGTCTCATCGAATGTCAGGGTGGGAAGGGCGCCTAGACACATTCAAACCAGTGGATGCAGAAACTGAAACATAGAGAAGCTGAGTGACTTACCGGAGGTCACTAAGCGTTGGGGTGGCCTGGCTACAACCTCTATGTGAGGTCTTTCTCTGAGGCTACCAAATCTCAGCGTCTTACCTGGGTCTCCTCCAAGAGGAAAGGATCTCACCTTCGTCCAGGGCTGTAGCTGCCTCAGGGCCCACGTGGGTGCCGCGGGATCCCGGAATACCCCGGCTCCAGACCGGGTTCAGCTTGCGCGTGCGCACACGTGGCCAGCCCCTTGCCTTTTCCTCTCTTTTTCCTTCCCCTCTCCTCTCCTTACCGGCCTAGGGGAGGGGGGAAACAAGAGGAGCTAGAAGTTGGCCTCAGCCAATGGGCGGACGGGCCGCGGGCCCGGCCCCCTCCTTCCCTCCAGTGCGGCCCAATAGAAATTTACTACAATGTTGTGGCGAACCGAGGGGGAGGGGCGCGGGCGAGCGGGCGGGCTGCGGGCCGGGCCGGCCTCGCCTCGCAGAGGGAAGGCGGGAGGGCGCGCGCCAGGGCCGCTAGTCTGCTCGCTCGCTCGCTCCCTCCCTCCGCTGGTGGGTTTAGTCAGTCAGCTAGTAGCAGCCCGCGGGCCAGCGAGCCGCAGAGCGCCCGAGCCTGGGACGCCGGCGCCTCCTTCTGCCATTGTTCGTCTGGCTGTAGCAGCGAGGGGCGCGGGAGTTCGGCCCCGGAGCCACCGGTGAGGCGAGGCGGCGGCGGCGGCGCGGGAGACGGGGCGGGGGGGCGTGGAGCTGTCCCCGTGGGGACGGTCCTGGCGGCCGCGGCGGCGCTGCAGCCTCTTTGTCTGCAGCCCCCTACAGGCCCCGGGCCGGGGCGCGGGCTCTCCCGCGGAGGGGCCTCGTGCGCACGCCGGGGCGCGAGCCGGGACGCGGCCTGAGGAGCCAGGGGCCGGCCCGAGCCGCCGAGGCTAGGGGAAGGGGTTGCGTCGCGGGAGCTTTGGAAAGTTAGGCTTGGGGTGTATTTTTGACGAGGGTAAGTCGGTCCCCTCGGGTGCGTCAACCACGGTGCAGTGGGCAGGAGCCTCGGGAGAAAACCAAATGCGGAGAATCGCAGGTTTCAGACGGTGAAGGTGTTGCGTGCAGACGCGGAGCGATTTCCTCCTGGCGAGGGAGCGGGGTTGTCTGCAGAAGTCAGGCGGAATCTCAGGGCTGCAGGGAACCCAGGCGGGACTTCGCAGGCCTTCCCGCCACCGACGCCTGCATCATTGAAAAACACGTTCCTCGAACCCGGGGGAGTCAAACGCTTTCCCCCTTAGTCTTCAGGGTTCCCAGCGAGCAGAGGGTTAAATCTATTCTCTCAGCGTCGTGACCTCCTTTTTCAGTTCGCGCATCTGTCGGCTTGGAAACCTTCCCCCGTGCTCGCTGGGCTGCTGTACCTGTGGAGAGGCCGGGTCTGGGCTCGCCCTCCGAGATGCACCAGCAGGCCTTTATTCCTGGGGAGGTTTTGCCAAAACAAGGTCATGTTCCCCAAGAACAGACATTCTCTTGAGAGAAAGTGATCTCACGTGAAGCAAATTGCTGATGGACTGGTTTCTGGCCACATGATCGCGATTGTCATCCTGTTGTTTCTCTAACTGCACCCTATACCCTGCCATAAATGACTAGTCTGTGGAGACTTGTTTTTTGCATGTGGTTGCTCATTAGGAGATAGTTTTTTCCTTTCTTTTTTTTTTTTTTTTTTTCAGTAGTCTGGGTGATTTCACAGCTGCTATTTTGCTCCCTTCTGTTTTTAGGGAAAATTGCAAGAAATGGTTGTGTCTGTGTCTTGGATATTATTAGAGTGGATTTATACTCTCTTGAGGATGTACTGTAGTCAATGCTGTTGCTCATTGTTGTTTTCTGTATTCTCAGTCCTGGCAAATATTTTAGTTGATTAAAGGGAAAAATCCCTTTAATCAAAAGCAGGATATATAGCCTGTATATATTTCTTCTCGTCCCAATTTTGTTAATGTAGCACTAACCTCTACTTTTTATGGAAACTTGATGTACTCTTCATTTTCCTTTTTTGTAAATTGAAAGTGTAATCAGTTCTTTGCCAGTTGTAAAATTTTTGGTTTGGGGTATTGTTAATATAATCCATGTAGAGTACATGCTATCTGGCATACAGTAAGCACTCAATAAATGGCAGATTCAAAAATAGGTGTAATAACTGAACAGCAGATTGCCTTAGCATCAAAGTAGTTAATTCGAGTGCTTTCTATAAGAAGCTTATAATTAAGGTAAAGATAAATAGTATTCATATACCTTGGGAAACAAGTACAGTATATCTTTGCCACTATTAAAAGTGAACTTAGCCAGGAACAGTGGCTCACGCCTGTAATCCCAGCACTTTGGGAGGCCAAGGCAGGTGGATCACTTGAGGTCAAGAGTTCGAGACTAGCCTGGCCAGCATGGTGAAACCCCATCTCTAATGAATACAAAAAAGTAGTGGGGCACGGTGGTGTGTGCTTGTAATCCCAGCTACTCAGGAGGCTGAGGCGGAAGAATCGCTTGAACCTGGGAGGCAGAGGTTGCAGTGAGCCCAGGTTGCAGCACTGCACTCCAGCCTGGGCAACAGAGCAAAACTGTCTCAAAAAAA